GACTAGATGATTTCCTATCTCCTAAACTGAAAATATTCTGCTTTCTTTTTCTATTTTTTTCATATCTACTTACTTTCCTGTGTGACTGCTATTAGTAATCATTGTCATTTTCCAATTTCAGAGCTAGGAGTACAGTGTTTGAAGAAGAGAAGGCAAAAAGGTCCTCCATTTACTTTTACCATAAAGAAGAAAAAAGTTTTACTTTTCTTCCATTGTCAGACTCTTGGTAGATTTTTTATATGGGTTTCCAATATCTGAAACTTGAAATAATACGCCCTAATTGCCCTATTTCAAGAATCACAGCTGTCACCAAGATACACAACCAATCTAATGCAGAAAAGAAAGAACCTGGAATGTTCCATGTTTTTTTCTGTGCTGAATTGACTTAAAGTCTTATATGTGAGACTAGTAAGGGATACACACACAAGTTTTACCTGAGCATAAAAGTTATATGTGACTTTTCTTTAAATTATACAAATCTCTAGTGATAATCATTAGAGATGCAGACTAGGCATGGCAAACACTTTTCAAGTTCTGTCAACTCTGCTAATGTTACAATATTGTACTGGGAAGACTCTAGGCCATGGCAGGGCTCAGTAGAAAGGAGTACTGTGACTTCTCAAATATGTCAATAGTACAGTTATTGGAGGAGGTAACAAAATAACCATGTAACTCATTTGTTATCTAAGTCTGATTTCCTGAGTGTGTGAAAACTCCTCCTTTCATATTTTTATGAGAGGATATATTAACACACATTCAATGAGCAGAATTCTTTTTGGAGTCTCACTCTGTCGCCCAGACAGGAGTGCAGTGACCTGCTGGGTTCAGGCGATCCTTCTGCCTCAGCCTTCCAAGTAGCTGGAACTACAGGTGTGCGCTACCACACCCGGTTAATTTTTTGATTTATTGTAGAGATGAGGTCTCGCCAAGTTGCCCAGGCGGGTCTTGGACCCGTGGGCTCAGGCAATCCACTCACCTCAGCCTCCCAAAGCACGGGATTACAGGTTAAGCCACCGAGCCTGGCTGAGCAGAATTTTTGATGAATGCTTTCTAATTTCTAATTATGAGACAATGTATTATGTTTGAATCATGAGTTAATCATTAAGCATCAGTAAAACTTACTAAGTTAATTTAACTGAAGATGAGAGTCAACAAATTTAGGCCAATGAAACAAGGTCACTATATTGAAGTAACCTCCTGATTAAGGTAAGAAAAAAGGAAATTGTATTCAGGGTACTAGGGACTACTATTCACAAAATATGTCATGAACGACACCCTCTAGAGTTGCACAAGACATAGCTTCACAACCATATGTGGTAGTCCTGGTGTCTGAACTATACTATTATTATAATGTAAAATATAATGGCAATATTTGTTTACCTCTTTATAGAATATAAGGGAAGAAGAGTATATAAACATTATCGAAGTATTTATTAGTGTAGGATTTTATATCTACTTTGTCATTATTCATCAAATATTTTCTTTTATAATCCTAACCTGTATTTATGGGCAAATGAGCAAATATAAGGTAAACTTTAACACAGCATCTTCTGAAAGGACTAGAGATTTAAAAGTAGCAATGACCACATTAAAAATGTTTTATTGACCTGACTACTTGTTTTGATAAGACTATACTGTGTGAATGGAGACCAGCAGGCTGGGAATTTTCTCCAGAGCAATTCATGTAAAGTGCTGCAACTGGCTTGCTTTTCAACATCATAAAGTACTGACACATTTCATGTATTTTGTCATTACAGTCCCTGGACATGGAGTAAGTTGGGTACATTTTGGATAACTTAACAGAAGGGAGAGAAGGACAAAAAGTTCTCCCATGGAAGGCACTCCATTCGGCAGAGTAACGAAATGTCAGTGGAATGACAGAGTCCTGCCCTCTATTAGCCTTCAGTGTTGTTCTAGCATGCCTCCTGCAGGTTATAATTTTTCATCTACGATGTTTGTAAATGTTAATGTAAGGTATGTTTGCATTTATGTGGGCTTTGATATTGAATGTCAAAGGAAACCTGGATCCCCGAGTGATTTCACAAAGTTAAGAAAACTTAGTAGTTCATTTCTGCCCATAGTGGTGTCTGTTGAAATAGACACCGTCCTTTGCTTGCTGTTGGTACAAACAAGGCAGGTGGGATAAATTTACTAGGTAGAAGAAGGGCTAGTGATTTTTCACTGATGGCAAAATTAACTATATAATACTGAGAGAGGTATCAGAATAGCCTCATGACATTTATATTCTACTAGGGAAACCAACAATAAACAAATGAGCTAAAAATATGAGCGTGTATGTGTGTGTATGTGTGTGTGTGTGTGTGTGTGTACACATATACACACATATGTATACATACAGACAAGTGTGTATACATATGATAAGAACTATTAGGAAAATAAGTAAGAGAAGAGGACTAGGGCATAATGGAACAATGAATTAAAATTAAAATGTTAAATAAGAAAATCAGTAATACTGTGAACAAAATACAACATGACTGTACGTTAGAAGGTAATGGGAACATCTACTTTTGGATTGTGTGGTCTGGGAAGACTTTTCTACAAGTCTAGCCTTGAGCTGACACTTGAATGTCAAGGAGACATGCCAATGTCAATGCTTTGGAGAAGAATCTTCACAGGCCCTTCATGATCAGTGAGCCTGTAATGTTGGATGAACAAAAGCCAGCATGTCTGAAACATAGAGTGAGCAGCTGGACATATAGAGATTAAATCACAGAAGTAGGCAGGGATAAGTTTTCATTTTTCATCCGGATCTGTATATACAGTGCATCTTGTGGGGTACTCTTCCTCAAATGTGACCTAGATCGCTATTTTATCCCAATTATTCAGTCATCCCTTTAGTTAAATTACCAAACAGATATTGACATATATAGTGTTATTGACATATATACCACACATGACTCTAAACGATCCACAGTGTTGACCAACAGAGACACTACCAGTCCTGTCTTCATGCAGTATATATTTCAGTGAAGAGAACATAAATGAAATGCTGACAAATATCATGATGTCTAAGAAGTGAGCAAATGAGATGTGTAGTTGGCATTCACAATAAAAGAGTTAACCTAGCCTACAGAAGTGATCCGATTTATGTGTACCAATGAAATGCTATTGTGTCTCAGAAAGTCATTCCCAGATCCAGCTATTTACTATAACAATAAAATAAATTTAAAATATCCATCGATCAAGTGCTTTATAATAGTCTAAGTCCTTTCATAGTCATTACCCTACTTAATATTCACAATAACTGTGATGAGGTCAGTCAGTTATGATTATCTTCATTTTAAAGATGGATAAACTGAAGCTTTGAGAATTTAAATGACTTGTCTATAATGAGTTAGTAATGCAAGCAGTCCTAGTCTAATTTTACACTCTGTATATCACCAGAGGCCTGGTCTGAGCTAAATATAGTAAAATTCTTTACTCAACATAGCACTAGGCACTTAGTTTGGAGGAGAAAGGAAGAGAAAACACAGTATCCTCATTCGTAAGAATATGAGATCTGCCTGGCTCGGTGGCTCATCCTGTAATCCCGCGCCTTTGGGAGGCTGAGGTGAGTGGGTTCCTAAGCCCACGGGATGGAGACCTGACTGGGCAGCAAGACCTCATCTCTACAATAAATCAAAAATTCAGCCGGTCATGGTAGCGCATGCCTGTAATTCCGGCTACTTGGAAGGCTGAGGCAGAAGGATCGCCGGAGCCCAGCAGGTCGAGGCTGTGGTGGCCGGGAGCGGCCACTGCACTCCAGTCTGGGTGACAGAGTGAGACTCCAGTTCAAAAAAAAAAAAAAAAAGAAAGAAATATGCGATCTATTCAAAAAGGTGTTCAGATGAGCACCAGACAACAAACCATACAGAAATCCGGTGTGCACATGAAGTTAAGAAATAATCAGAATGGTCTGAGATTACTCTATAACCTTGGCTTGACAGAAATTAATTTTTAAACTGGACCTATAAATAGAGCATGTGACTAGATTTTGATGTTTTTACATTCTGAAAATACTCTGATTTTTAAAAATTTTCTATTCTCAAAATTACTGCCAATCAATGAATCTTACCCACTGTATTCTTCTGAATTTATTGCTTAGTCTAGAAATCTACAGTCTCTTCATTTTGTAGATTAATCTTAGCTATGCACTTTCTCTGCTGAAGACACTGCCAGACACTCCAGAAAACTTTACTCAGCATTCTCTTCCAATTATCTTATTCCCAGCACAAAGCCTGATGCCAAGATTTCTGTTTGAACAACCTCTTCCTAGAATGCTAAACTGTTAACCTTTAGGAAAGCGCCATTCATTTAACATTCCTTGTTTTCTTAGAAAATCAGTCGAGAATTCCACTCAATATGCAGTGCTGAATTTGTTGCCCTACTAAACGAACCTTCTCTGTTGTTCATGTATAGGACAGAGAGCTTATTTTTCCAGTTTTTGCTTGAAGTCAACAAATGCCTGGCTCTACTAATATTATTTTATGCTGTTTTATAATGAGCCAGCACCTTGGCAGATTATATCATCACATAAAAACACACTTGATATTTAAAAATATATCATTACCTTATTTCAAATATTACATATCGAATCTCTTTTCCCTTTGGCTATACCAGCAAATCCTTCCTCTATTAATTATAAAGTGCAAACAATATCTGTCAACTCACTAAGAGTCAAGAAAAAGTTGCATCTTTAATGATATATTTGAGTTCATATGTTTGTCTTATTCTTCATGGTTGTCAACTGGCTGGCGTGTAATATACGGAAGACAAATACCACTGTCAAATCGTCACTATGTAACAACATGCCAAGTACTGTACTAAGTGTTCTTGTATCCTATTTTATTTTAGCTTCATATTGACTTTATGAACAGTTGACTAGTTTGCAATATAAATTTCCTTTTAAAAAGTCAGTGAAGATCAGTGACTTATTTTTAAATAGAAAATGATAAAAAAAACATTCCTGTTAATAAAGAAAAGAAAAGAAAGACACTTACAGGAACCAGGAATTTTTTAATTTCTTCCAGTGCATGACTCATGCGTGAATAAGCTTCCCCAGGAGGAGCAAACACTTCAATTAAGACATGAAGTTCATCACTCAAGTGGGCATATTTGGCTTCCCCACTCTTCCTTAGTTCTTCTTCCTGTGAAAGAGGTTATTTTTAGAAATACAAATGCACTCATTTTGTACTGATTTAACATTTACTGAGAATATGACAAAAGGGCATAATTTAAGCAAATTTTCCATAAGTAGAAAAAAACCCATTGAGAAATAAAAATCTGCTACAAGCCATTTAAAGATTTTAAAATCATTTTTTGAGAGTCTGGATGATTTTTTTTAAAAGCCTAGCATAATTTTCATCTACAACAGATTTTAATCAGCTAATGAAAATGCTAAACCTCTGAAAATAAGTCAGAATTGCTATTAACTCATTAGTGTTTTATATTAGTGTATTTATCTTCTGGAAGAATTGTTTTGTGTCTGATGTGTAGTTTTTTGTAGATCATATATGAAAGATTGCCACTGTGTTGTTTTTTTTTTCAAAGAAAACCAGAACTTTCTAGCTACTTTTTGAGAAGTTGTGAAAAAGTTGCTTGTTTGTGATAAAAATAAGCTAAGTATGTAAAACCAAGGCTTATTTTCCAGTCTGTATTCTCACAATTCCAGATTATCAGCAAGTTTCATACTCTTGCTTCTTCTTTGTGGTCAATAAAGATATGTTAAAGGATGGTTGTTTAACATTTTGTTGGCATTGATTTTGCTTGGGTTACATAACTTCTGCTTAATCCACAACATATATTTCTATTGGAAGAGATTTTTCACAGTATTTGGCCCCAGACATTATTGAAGTCTAATTAATTTAGTACAGGTACAGAGAAAATTAGCATACAATACATACATGTTGTTAATGTATGCTGAATATTTTACATATGCCATCTCTAACCACAATTACTTTGCATATATTCATACACTTCAGATTAAGAATCTGAGTTTAGAAGACTTAAGTAGCTTCAGCAAAATTGGTATTCAAACTCAGCTCATTTTGCACCCAGAATTGCACTTTTCAGAATTTCAATGATGTCAAATTTGGTGAAAAAGTTAACATAAATAATATTAATTATGTTTACCTTTCTTGCCCCCTCACAGTTGTTGGTGAAACAACCAGCAATTATTTCACTAAATTTCAAAAAAAACACTAAACAATTAATTCTTAGTTTTATGTGTACATTAAATAGAAAAGTGCCATGAATACACCTAAACTTACGGGGAGCCAGCCCCCCAAAAGAGATTTAGAGGGTCCCTGGAAGGTGGGGCAGCATCGGCGAATATTCTGGAGAAATAAAGAGAAAGAAAGAGACTGGACTCTGTCTAGTGCAGAAGCTGATTCTGTAGTAGGGATAGACATTAAAAGAAAGCAAGACGGGGGCATAGACATAAAGAGGAAGAAAGAGAAAGAAAGAAAGTGGACAACTGTTCAGTGAAATGAGCAGAAGCCATTTATTGGGAACAAACGTGAGTTTTTTATCCCAAATTTTCACATGTCAAATCACAAGACTTTCACGTGGGCACAAAGCCAGGTAGGTGAGGGGCGTCCCCCACCCACCAGGCGTTTCCTTAGGAATGAGGAAGGGCAACCCCAATCAAATCACAAGTGTTTACATGAACACAAAGCCAGGTGGGGGGGGCATCCCCGCCCACCAGGCATTTTTCTCAAGCATGAGGAAGGACAATCCCAAAATTATCTCACTGTTCCTTATGCTTGGTTTACGTTCCTCAAAAGCAATACAACAGTTTTCATATCATAAAATCCTAATTAACAATAACTTCTAAAACTTATGCATACCCAACACCTAATGACTGACTTAAATACTAATACCTTTCTATTCTGTGCTAACTTTACCTGTACTATAAAAAACTCTTAATTGTAGGTCAGACCAGTTCCTAAAGAATGTGGCCCAGTCCAAAATGGATGCTGGGCCCTTAGGAATGTGGCCCAGCCCAAAGTTCGTGCTGGGCCATTTCTGGTAACCCTAGATAACCATCTCATGCTGGAAACAGCTCTCTAAATGTATATACTAATTCTACAAATATATTTTTAAATCTTATAAAGAAGCTTGTATCACATATAAGGCTCCCAAATGTGATCTGAGTTTGAACTATGTTAAGTTTAAAGCCGAAACCGCAGTCTGTGAGAAGCAGGAACAATGGATCCCTAGAGTCAGCCATGCCTGTCATATTCTCAGAACTTCATGCTTAGATCGTTAAAATCCCTACCAGTGGGTAATGCTAAACAACAAGGAAAGGAAGAGGGAATGGGCCTTCAGCTCCTGAACCAGCCTGGTGGTCTCAGGGTCCACAGCCTGCCTGGATCCCTAACACTCAGGTAGGCCTCCACAGCTGGCTCCCAACATAAACTGAAGAAACAAAGCAATTTTGCTATTGATTTCATATGAGTTAACTGTATAACTCATGCTAATTTAAATGTTTATCTGGTTAGAAATCCAGCATTTAAAACATGAAGTATCTGTGAAAGAGAAGGGAAGATACACCTGCTTTCCCATATACACACCCTTCTCCTACTCAACTCTCCCTGATACCAGCACCTAGCAGACTAGGAACCCACTTCTCACTTCTCTAAGCACACTTTAAAATCCTAACTAGGACTTTGCACTTAAGTGCTTTTCTTAGTGCCCAATTCTCAGTTTGGGGAAGAGAAGTAGCACCTGACTGAATGAAAATACACCCATGAGGTATAGTAAGCATTTCTTTTCTCTTTGGGTCCTGCTGGGCTGTAAGCTGCTCATTAATTCTGGGGCCAGCTTGTTGGGCATAAGCACTGAAGTAGTTAAATCAGAGGTTTCTAGATACAGTCCTTTTCTCATTAATTCCTATGTTGATTTCCATCTGGTTATTTTTGTGCTACTCTCCCCTTACATCTGGGATTTCCTAGAGAATTCCATATAATTCTTATCTCTATTAAACAGAGTAATATGGTCATGGAACAATATTTCCTGAGTGACATGACCAACTCATTCTGGAGTTCAACAAAATAAAAGGAACATTAGTTAATCAATATCCTTAGAAGACACTGGGGTAACCATCATTTGCTCCTTGGAATGACCCTTTGGAATCACATCTCCTTCTATAAGCAGTGTGCTTAAAAATTTTTAAATCACACAGTGCTCTTGATAGGGACTATCTAGTGGAAGAAAATGTTTCTATCTTGTCAAGTTAAGAATAGTAGCCATCTGCTTTCTTGCATTTTTTGTAAAAAATATGTTATAAATTGTTCATGATGTGATGTAGACCACACATTCGTCCTTTGTGGTACTCCAGGAGATGGTGTATTGTCCTTTTAGAATTTCCTGTGAGAACTCCCACAATCACCACCACCACCAGAGAGAACTTCAAGTAACTGACATGATGACCTAATAAATATCTTCTAAACACCTATGTATATATCTAAATGAACACATAATATGTGATATCATCTTATACAAGATATGTAGAGAGTCTTTTCCTAAATATCTAATTAGAGTTGCATTCTTTACTAATGTCTCTTAAAATGACTCTCCAGATTAACTACATATTTATTCCCCATAAGGTTTTTAAACTAACGTCCAAGAGAGCCTGACAGTTCGTGCCAGTGGATTCTTCTTTAGTGCACCCAAATGGCCCAGCTCTCACCACTTAAGCTGTATAATCAAGTCAGTGATATTTGTTCTCAAAACTATTTATACGAGCTGTATTTGTTATTGTATGTTTTATCATTGTATTTTATTGAATTTTTATTCTTCTGTTTTCAGAACAATGATAAAATTGCCTAATGATGCATTTCTCAGAATGTATCCCTGCCGTTAAGGAATCATGACTTTACCAGAAATAATAAAAGTGAACGGAAACAACTCTGCGCACAAAGTATGTGATATGTGATAAAGCAGGAAGTGTTGTTCCTAACAAGACATATACAGGGTATGTTTTGTTAAAAGAAAAGATAGTAATTGTGTGCCAAGTAAAGGGCTAGTTATTTTTTTTTAATTATGAGAGAAAGAATAAAACAAAACCTGAATGGATATTAAAAAATTTGTAATGCTTATGGGAAAGAAATCTTATATTGCCTTGGTATGGGAAATGATATAAGTTTTGTAGAAAAGAAGTCTTCATGTTGTCTGGTAAAAGCTGGCAAAGTTGGATGGATTTCTTTATGAAGTTTTATTTTTTAAATGGACTTGTGATCTGAGAGATGAAAATTATGCCCTTTTATCAACTAAGACAGACTCGAGGTTAAGAAGTAAAAGTTACCTAAGGGTCAACGGTTCAGGGCCCCGCTGGTGGGAATAAATTCCTAGGACTATAAGAAAACAGAACTCGATGGAGTTGGAGAACATCATCTTAAGTGAGCTAACATAGGAACAGAAAACCAAACAATCACAGGTTCTCACGTATACATCGGAACTAAACTAGGGATATGCAAAGGCACAGAGAACGGTATAAAGCAGCGAACCCCAACCTTTTTGACATCAGGGACTGGTTTTGTGGAAGACAATTTCTCCATGGACATGGAGCACTGGGGGCTAGGGTAGGGATCATCAAGCATAGATTCTCATATGGAGTGGGGAACCTAGATCCCTCACATGTGCAGTTCACAGTAGGGTTCGCGTTCCTATGAGAATCTAATGTCACAGTTGATCTGACAGAATGTGGGAGCTCTGTTCCCCCGCGGTTCACCTCCTGTTGTGCCGAGGGTTCCTAACAGACTGGTACTGGTCCGAGACCAGGGGGTTGGGCATCCCTGGTATAATGGACAATGGAGACTCAGAAGAAGTGGGGGAAGGAGACAGAGGGACGTAAAATCACCGATTGGGTACAATGGACACAGGCGGGAGCAGTGGGTACAAAGCACAGACTCTTCGCTGCCTTGCAATGTAATGAGAAACTATTTGTATCCCCTAAAGCTATTGAAAGAAAGGGAAAAGAAAAGAAAGGAAAAAAGAAAAGAAAACCACAACCTTGCTAAAATCCATAACAATAGGAGTTAACAGGAAGATTTACAACATAGACCACTATAACTCTGGACAGAGGATTAGCCTTACGAATATTCTTTTCTGATAAGCTACTGCAGATCTTAAGCCAGTTTCAGCC